TGCAGCTGACACAACCTTGCTTGCGGAAAGTGAAGAGGGCTTGAAACATTTACTTATGAAGATCAAAGAGCACAGCCTCTGATATGGATTACATCTCAATGTTAAGAAAACAAAAATCCTCACCACTGGACCAGGCTGCAGTAACAACCTCAAAATCGTAGTGCTTAGAATGGCAAATATGTGGGTCTGATTCGCATGACCTGCCATTTGCAGACCAGCTGAGTGAGAGGAACAGATGTCTGCTCCCACCATCTTCACTCAGAAACCCAGACTGAGGGGACTCCAGTGTCGTGTTTCTAGAACTCCTAAAATACCCTCAAATCCCACTGCTGTTGAGTCAATTCTGACTCAGAAACCTTATCATTATTGCTGCTAAGTGCTGTGGAGTTGGTTCTGACTCAGTGACCCTGAATAGGGTTTCCGAAGCTTTACATCTTCATGGGAGCAGAAAGCCTCATCTCTCTCCTGTGAAGTGCCTAGTGGGCTTGAGCTGTGGATCTTGTGGTTCACAGCTCAGTGCTTATCATATGGAACCACCATGCTCCCACTGACCTTGTATAGAACACAGTAAAATTGCTGCAAAGGGTTTCTGAGGCTGTACATTTTTATGGGCACAAACTGCCTTGTCTTTCTCTCACAGAGTGTCTGGTGGGTTCCAACTACCAATCTTTCAATTAACAGCCTAAAGCTTAACCTACTGCGCCACTAGGGACAAATAAGGGAATGTAGCAATTAAAATTGCCTCTTAAAAGTTCTAGTCAGACGCTTCCTAGAAGGTTGGAAATAGAAATACCTTATGACCCAACAATTCCTCTACTTGGTATTTATCCACAAGAAATATGAGCCATAACACCAGTAGATATATGCACAGCAATGTTCATAGCAGCACTATTTACAATAGCAAAAAAATGGAGGCAGCCAAAGTGCCCATCAACTGAAGAATGGATAAACAAACTGTGGTACATACACACAATGGAATACTACGCTACCCTGAAGAATAACAAGGAAGCAGCAAGCCA